CACTGAGAGAAAGAATCGTCGCAAATTTTCATCGCACCATCATGTCCGGTTTTCAATTCTTCAATTAATCCTTATTTATTATTTGTTGAAATGTATCGTCTGCTAGTCTCGAATTGCTTTAACTACAAAGCCTCCCCGATTTTTAAGCAAAATACAATCTTTTAACTCCTTGAAAAATACTTACTCTGCTTTTTACGTAAGTTGTGATAATTCTCCTCGCTTGTTTTTTATCCAACAAATCGCCCTTTTCGCGATGACCTTGAAAAATTGGTAAAACAGGCCCGGTTACTGCAAAATATTCTCCAACTTCAACCGTCTTCTTTTCTTCTTTTTTGTCATCGATTATTATTTCATCGCTCAACTTGAAATTCACCAACAGTGGATGCTCCCAGTTTATCTGAAAATACACATACCAAACTGAACACTTTACTGATCTCAGCAAAAACTATTTACTTGCGCTCTACAATGCAATTCGCCGTTCCCAAATGAATAAAAAAAAACTGCCCGTTGTTTCACTAAAATGAGGAACTAAGGACCAAGTGGCCTTCCTCGGCCAACGCCCTCCCCTCCTCCTTCTTCCTGTTTCCTTTCTCCTCCCCTTTCCTTTTGAGTGTTCCAAAGCTTATGCACCACTGATTAACTTCTACTACATTTCGTGTTACAGCTGACAGTCGCTATGGAGAAACAAGGCAACATCATTTGTAGTCATGGAGAAGTACCACATAAGTGGTCATAGACAAAACCAGGGCGCTGAGGGGAGGTCCCGCTCACCGCTCCTAGAGGCAACGACCTGTAGCTTTTATAGGTCTCGAAATGAAAAACTGGTACAGACGAACACACAGACACACACATACACAGATAACCCCTCGTCAATATGCGTTTTCTGCACTGCATAGATACAAAAAACTCATAAAAAGGCTAGGATCAACCATGGGCGGTTATAAGTAGCAATGATGAAGCTCTGGCTGTATCAATTTACAGAAAGGCGATTGAAGGGTTGCTTCAAAAGAACGAAAATGAGTTAAAGTGTAGTCAGAAGTGATCAGAGATGAAGTAAGATAATTAAGTTAGTTAGAAAGCGGTCATCAGATTGATTAGGGAACGGTAATCATGCAGTGGACGTTGAATTGTTGCTGTACAAATCAAAAATTTGCTCTTGTACTTGAGATGCATACATAAATACATACATACATACATAAATTTGGATTTAGGCCGAAGCGCAAATAACGAGGAGAATGTTCGCACTACTGTGTATCCTTCGGCATTATCTTTTGCGCACATAAGGACTTATCATAATGCTTTATCATTTTTGTACTGAGCACGCCACAGATGCGAAGCATTTTAGCAGCTATGGGCGATTTGCCAGCAACACGTCCCACTGTCAGACCTTTTACTCAATCATCACTTGACCGCCTAATCTGTTCTTGTGTTAAATAACTACAAGTAGCAAAGAAAACATGCCGGACCTAGAATTCCATTTCGGAACAACGAAGGAAGAAAGAAGAAAAGCGGATGACAAAACCACTGGTGAACTGATCACTTGGTAATGTAACTCTTCGTTCGCACTATCAGATGCGCTGATGGTTTCACCACAAATAGAACGATAACTAATCAAAGTCCAAATAAGTTAAGAAAACTTTTGGTTTCAAAAACACAATGAAATAAGAGCGCACAGAATTAACTCCAGGTGGGAAAATTGCTAACTCGAGAACGAGAAAAGCTGGGATGCTAGAATTTTAAAAGCATGTTCCCCACCCATGTGCGACTAAGAGATTTCAAATTCAGCTTCTGTAGTGGGGTCTTTTTCGCACGCCAGTAACTTTCCATTTGTCGGTTTACTGAAGCCAACATCTACAACTGACATGCCACAAAGTTGTACAGATAACTTCCTGAACTTCGAGGGCCACTACTGTCACGAACTTTAGCTACTGTGATCCTTCGCGATCTTGCTGCAACACGAAAGAGTGCAAAAATGCATGATCGCACCGGCCCGCCTCGTATTTTCCAGCCTGTGTTTATTTATCCGGAAGGCCAACTTCGGTGCATTGTTAGTTCTTGTAGCTGGGCTCTGTTATGCATTAATAAAATCAAAGCATTCAAAAGGCTCGTCATTTTTTAATTGACCGTATTTCCAAGATAGTTTTCCAACAGCACCCACCAGATGTCAAGGGTTTTCAACCGCTCCTTCTTCCCAAACCGGAATGCTTTTGACCTCCAGAAATGTGCCAGTACCCAGCAGCTCAAAAAAAAAAAAAAAATCAATGAATCTTCGATACACTGGTAATTCCTCTGCCGATTTGAAAAAAATTAAAAAATTATAAGAACACAGACCTCAGTGATCATTTCTGATCCCTTTTGTTTCATGGCGATTTTCACAATTGGCCCACTTTCATTTTCATTTATCCTCTCCAGAAATACGACAAATTTCTTATAGATTGTTTTCTTCATATCAATATGCCGATCGGGCGGAACACAGGGAAGTAGGTAACGTGAATAGAATTCACCAATATCCAGTGGCAACTGGCCCTTTTTTGTAACGCGATGCTTTAAAGCAGCCAAGAAGCAGTGCTCCAACTAAATAAGAGAATTTATTATTGTTAAAAAAAAAGGAAATATAATTTCAATCCCTAATTCAGCCTACCCTACCACTTCTCATCCCACTCCTCAATAACAGTATACTTTTTTATCTCGATTTGCATATCCCTCGTATTCGCATTTCCACTTTCGCTTCACAATTTTGTTTACACTTTTTACCTGATTTTACGAATTTGTCTCAGAAAGATCTGTAGCGGCGATGGGTCTACGAATAATTGCTTCAGCAGTAAAATTTCCGAAGTTCGCTATTGATCTTTTCTGAACCTTTTTCTAAATCATTTTTTTTTTCTTTTCTTCTCCACTCCATTCTCATTCCCGCAATCCTACAATCACATTGTTCCCCTTTGTTTCCTTCCGTTTTTCTTTTTTCCCTCTCTCGCCTTTTTATGCGTTTTTTGCAGCCATGCAATGCATAAAACGCATATTGACGAGGGATTGTCTGTGTGTCCGTGTGTGCATCTGTCACGCACTTTCATCTCAAGACCTATAAAAGCTGTGGGGCTGAAATTTTGGGAACTTAATCTACAGGCACGTGCCGGCCTAAATCCCCAAAATGGGCGCCAACACCCGCGTGGGACCCGCCAAAGTTTTTTTGGGGTAAGTTCATAACTCGGGGATCTGAGAAAGTAGAACGCTGAAATCTTAGGGGAATGTTCCTCGTCCAACTAAGTATTAATGCACTCAAACCCATTCCCCGGGTAAGCGTGTTACCCGCGCACGGGCCCGCCAAAATTTTTTTCGGGTAAATTCATAACTCGGAGATCTGAGAAGGCAGAACGCTGAAATCTTACGGCAATGTTCCCCGTCCAAGTAGGTATTAACTAGTTCAAACCCTGCCCGCGGGCAAGCGTAGCATCTACGTACGAGCCCTTGAAAGTTTTTTCCGGGTAAGTTGCTAACTCGGAAAAGTAAAAAGCTAGAAGACTGGGATTTTAAAGGGATGTTTCCTGTCAGTTCTGGCGGCCAGTCTGAAATCCTTTTAGCTAGAAGCATTTGCCAGAAAAACCAGTGCCGTTAGTGACAGAAATCTGCGGGGAGCTACGCAAAAAACGCATGTTTGTACGAGCAGCCCGTGCGTTGGCCTAAGCACTGCAGCCGTCATACTGATAGGGTGTTAAGACATATAGTTAAGGCATATATGGTTTAATGGACCGAAACGTCGTATCTTTCTCTTGCCTTTTTTTCTCATACTGCTTTTTCTTCTTATATTTTATCGCGTCTTGGCCACTTAGGCTTCCAGGATCAACCTAGTTGCTACAACCGATTTATCACAGTTTTGGTTAAAATGATAGCAAATTAAACACTATTACTCACCAAACTTTCCATCGATTCAGAACTTGAAGCTGAAGCTCCATCATTAATTTGCCCTTCAGCCAAAACAGGCAACATTTCAGTCTCTTGACTTATACCCGCAGGATTGTCCAGAACCGATGAGGCTTCAGCCGTTTTATCTGAAGCTGCCTTCGTTGTTTCCTCATCTAAAGTTAGTGAACCTAAAGCTGGGTACTCGGATTCGTAACTTTTTGGTTTCGTTGTGCTTTCTTCAACGGAAACTTCTACAGGTGCAGTTCGACTTCCCAATGCCCTGCAAATAAAAATGCATAGCAGACATTTCGCAACAAAAGTATTGTTTACATGTGTTTTCACTACACATCTACTTTGCGAACTGGCTTCAAATAGCTTAGCACAAAGACTCTGGAGACTTTTAAAGTTCCAAAACGATAAAACTCCTGGGAAATCGCCCCGTGAATACTGTCGTTGCTGAAAAGCGTTAAAGAATCGCGAAAAGATAATCTGCAAGACAATACGAGGGAGAAGGGGACAAAGTATGACTAGCATATCTCAGTGAAAAATGAAAAAAAAAAAACGCAGAAAAACCTACAGTTGCATCATCAATAAACGCATAGATCCCAAAATTACAAAAAAAAGTGAGCTGTCTCTCTAAATAACCCGCGCACCGATCATTTGCCGAGTGAACACGTCGATTACAAAATCTCAGAAAAACAGTTCTCCCGCCCCCCCC